GTTTTCCAGCACTTTTGAAGCACCCGCTCCCATACAATGAAACACTAAGTGGAAATCATTTTTATTTCTTCATTAAAGCAAGCCCTCTAGAAATCTCTTTTCTATAAATATTTTGTTAGTAGAGTTTGAGCTATTACATATAATTAAAATGAATGACCTCTGTTCCATTAAGAACAGTTTATAGGGCTTCCCCGGTGGCACAGTGGCTAAGAATCTGCCTGCCAATGCAGGGGACACGGGTTCGAGCCCTGGCCCGGGAAGGTCCCACATGCCGCATAGCAACTAAGCCCATGCACCACAACTACTGAGCCCGCGTGCCACAGCTACTGAAGCCTGCATGCCTAAAGTCCGTGCTCCACAACAAGAGAAGCCACCGCAATGAGAAGCCCGCGCACCGCAACGAAGAGTAGCCCCTGCTCGCCGCAACTAGAGAAAAGCCCGCACGCAGCAACAAAGACCCAACACGGCCAAAAATAAATAAATAAAATAAATACATTTATTAAAAAAAAAAGAATAGTCTATAGTTCATACTTTTCACTCATTTCTCTGCTTTCTGCAGTCAATATGACCAAGGTAGGTTGACTCATGTAATTTAGCAAAGCCAACACATCTTTGATTGAAATGTGCTTATTTGCATTTCTTTGGAGTATGCTGGGGATGAAACTGCCCATAAAACACAGTATTTTTTTTTTTCCGACTATAGTCCGAATCACACTTATATATATGAATATATGTATAAACATCTAACTTCTATGGGTTCGTACAGAATAAAATGTACACATCTATAAAAGGTAGTTTCACTCTACTTGGCTGTAATAGGATTTTCATACTTGGTGGATAATTGGATTTTCACAAATGAATTGTGGGTTAGGAGGCAGCTTATGGTAGGTAAACGAGGACTGATACTATGCTTGCTATGTGCGTGCACACACACAGGTATTTATCAAGTGACCTTAACTCCACCGGTTGCAAATGAACTAAAAGATTAAAAGATAGGAACTGAGTCCATCTCCCCCACAGTAATGCAACTTTCATTAATTTTTAATTTCAAAGCAATTCTTCCATTTACAGCTCTTCCCCTAGAATAAGGAATGACTGTTAGGCCCCAAGACCAGGTACCTCAGAAACACAGGTCTCCAGCTCTCTGTGGACCCTGCCCATCCCCCAGGTACACAAAGCAGCACAGAGACCTGAGGGCACCTCTCCCATCCTGCCTAAATGGCTCCCTTCAATGTGCCTGGCTCTGAAGGCCATTCCGGTACCTCCTCCTGGACAGAAGGCCAGACAACAGCTCTGAGAAGGGGTATCTTTCTGGGAGTGGGGGGATTGTCCGGATGGGGCCTGAGGACCCTTTCACATCCTGAGCACAGTCATGAGTTGAGGATACACAGAATATCACTGGTAAAGGAGCTCAGAACGCCAACCTGTTCTCTCCAATCTCACAACCGGGCCAAGCCCCCCTTTCTGTCTGGCTGCCCCTCACACACAAGCAGAGTAGAAACTTGGTATCCCTAAGTCAAGCTGGTACAGCTGAAGCATCTGTCTGGAGGTCCATCCCTGGGTCCAGGGGGCGTCCCACATGCCTTACTCCCAGGTGAGGCAGGGCCCACATGGACAAAATCCACACAGTGCAGTGGGGGCCAGCCAGGTCCAGGCTTAGCCTCTGCTCAGGCTGCAGTCCCTTGTCCTTCCATTGCTAGCAAGCCTGCTTCCTTCATCACCTTGACCAATCCTGCAACCTTAAGGCAAGCCTCAGGCCATGAAAATGTTGTCACATTAACAGCTAATACTTACTGTGCCCCTGCTGCCTGCCCAGTGACATGTAAACAGCTTTATCTCCCTATTTCATTTATGCTACGCAAGAACCCAACTGGGTAAGGACCACCAGGGTCCCCATTTTATGCGTTAAGAAACTGAGACCCCTGAGAAGTTAAATAACTTGCCCAAGGTGGCAAGGCTAGTAACAGCACGTCCAGCGATCTGACTTAAGGGTCTGGGGCTTAACCTCTATACTCTGCAGCCTCTGTAGGCTTTGATTTCAGTACCTTTCCAAGAATCTGATGAGAAAGCTGGAGGAATGGGATTGAATGCATATACCTTGCTCAATACATAGGTGCTATTTCAATAACAAAAATCATTATTCTTATACACATACAGGCAGCCAAGAATGAACCTTGACACTGGGTCTTGTTTTTACCAGGTTTGTTCCTGCTGGTGAGACCACGTTCCTGCCCTGCACGTGGTTCTGGTAATTCAGTTTTACCCTGAATGACTGGAGTTTTCCTTTAGTTTCGCTTGGGGAAAACATTTTATCGCCAAGTGGGTTTGGAAAATGGAGGGTTTCGTTGTGTTTTTCTCTCTGTAGCTGCCAGCAGAAAAGTGAAGGAAAGTGAGAGTGATGCTGTGAGGGGTGAATCAAATCAGGGCTATTTGGAGAAGGGCTTAGGACTGGCCAGGATCTGCATGCCGTAGAGGACACCAGCCTCGTTCCCTCAGAAGCAAGACGGTGCTAAGTCATGGTGGGAGCAGGACATTACACAGTTTTCCAAAGTGTGTTCCATGGACCACTGGTAATTCAGGGAAATTAAAAGGTATAACTTTGAAAAGGCGGCTCTGCGGTTGGTTTAACTTAGGTCAGTGATTCCTAAAATGTGATCCCAGACCAGGGCATCAGCATCACCTGGGAAACTGTTGAAAGTGTACATTTCAGGCCCCTCCCCAGGCTGGCTGTGTTTTAGCAAGTCCTGGCCCAAGTTTGAGAACGAATGATTTAGGGAAATGCTGGTTTGAATAAAACCACACAGGTTTCCCTCCTGTACACTTTATTCCAACCTAAAATACACACATGCTTACTGCGACTCTTCAAGAAGGCAAAAAAAATATACAATTTTTCCAAGTGTCTTTGCCTGCGGGAGCCTATTTTCATGGAGTATCCCTAGGGGATGGTGCTCTGTGGACCGCGTAGCAGGTCAGGCACACAAAGCATCATTTCTCGGGGCTGCTAGGAGCTAGAGATTGCTCAGTTCTGGCTCCTGGGGATTCATAAGGAGTGTTCAACAGACCCTTGAGATTAATTTTGAGCTCAGGCTCTCTGAGCTGTCATGGAACACCAAGATTTAAAAAAAAAAAAAAAAAAAAGTGCTGACAGGCAATTATGAAACCAATTCCCTTTAACACAGGCGTAATCCCCCAAAAGCTGGGGAAACAGCCAGCCCGTCTTGGCAGGGCAGTAATCTTTGTCTCCACAAGGTGGCGCTCCCAGCTATAATTATATTGTTAGGTTTTGGATGAAAACTGCAGTAATGACACTAACAAACAGAAGTGAAACTTCGATTACAGTTTACACAGATGGCTTTCTATATAATCATGCTTTAAGTCTGACCACGTTTTGATCAATTAATTTTGTTTGCTTGTTTCAGTCACTGAAACATAATATATAGTAGGAGCAGGGAAGAACTTAATTTCAGGACAGTGTAAAGCACACATCCTAAAGCACGTGTGTTCTCTCAGCTCTCCTTATCCCTTTCAGTACAAGAAAAAAATTTTAATGATTAATTTATAAGCAATCGATATGGTCATTTAGTTAATCAGATTTGAAGGAGCTGATTGGCTTAGATAGAGAAAAGAGGGAGTGAGAGTTTTTTTGTTTGTTTTTTTTTTCCCCCAAAGACACAAATTTAACACTGGAAGCTAAAAGAAGGGATCAGGAACCTCTGAGATTCTCCCCGGACGTCATAATTGATGTTCCTTCCCTTCCTTGGTGGAAGCAGCTTGACTGAGCTGTTTCCTTATGTTCCGATTTTGATAGGGTTTAGCAAATAAAAACACCAGACACCCAGTCAGATGTGAATTTCAGATAAACAACACATACTGCTTTTTTAGAATAAGTATGTCCCATGCAATGTTTCAGACATGATTAAAGTAAAAAAGAAAAAAATCTTGCTTGTTTATGTGAAATTCAGATTTAACGGGGCATCCTATATTTTGTCTGGCAACCTCACCTTGGAATAACACCACACTTTCCAGTCCCCTTCTTTTTCCTCCCTTACTCACTTTCCTGAGACTGGGAGGCAGAGCTCACAGCTGAGGCAGGACTGGGGCCACAGGCCACACCCCATAAGTTTTACATCTGCCTGAGGGTCAGGCTCCTTCCCCACATCATAGCAACTTCTAGGCTGCAAAGGGCAGTGCTTTCTGCCCCCGCTTATGCATTAGAGTCACCTGGGGAATTTCAAATTCCCCAGAGATTCCCCTTCAGCGAATCTGGGTAGGGCCCGGGCACATGCATTTTAAACCTTCCCAAGTGACCCTTATATACACCCACGCTGAGAAACAGTACACAGATCAGAGCGTCGCAAGCTGTACTGAGCTCAGGAGCCATCTGGGGCCTTGTTCAGCTACAGGTCCTGCTCGGAAGCTCTGGGGCCCCAGAAACTGCATAGTCAACAAGCTCCCAGGCAATGTGGGTGCTCTGGGGGGGGATCGATCCCACCTTGAGCAGCAAGACTTTAGAGCCTGAAAAGCTGACTTGGAGAGCCTGTGTTTCTCTTAATTCTCCAGAAACCCTCCTCACGAATTACCCCTTCTTCCAGCCCTGTTTGTATTTCAATTCTTCTGAAACAGACTGACATCACTTTCCCTAAGCTCAAGTAGGTGAATTGCATGTTGGCTAATTAACTGCAAGGTGTCTGAGCCACACACTCCCTTAGAGGCTGCTGGCTACTTTCAGCTTCCTAGTTAGGCGTCCTCCTAATTGCTCCAATGGTTCACAGGTTCACATCTCCAGGAGGAATTCACCAGAAGAGAAGCAAGACTCTCTGCTCCACGCACCTGTACACGCTTCAACCTTCGATTTACGTCCTAAATTTTCTTGCTGACACGCTGTAAAATGGTTTGAGGAAGTGGGAAAGCACACCCGTTACTTTTAGCACCAGCGCCTCACAGGGAGGGAGGAAGGAAGAGAAAACAAAACCCAGCCCCCAACCCATCGGTAACCTTACCGGAGACTTCTTAATGTCAGAGACGGCATAATTCCCTTGGGAGATCCATCTGGCAGATTCAGTTAGAGACAGGCCGGTTCCGTAAAGGTTGATGCTAAAACGACCCTGGAATAAATGGCCGAGAAAGATTTTTAGTCCACGTGACGTCCCAAGCAAAGGCCACACAATAAAAGGGAACTTGGAGAAAGATATTAATTAATTGTGATTGCTACTAATGATTGAGGGTTCTTTTGGGCGGGGGGAGAGTGGAGTTGTGAACCAGGCACTTTACATGCATCATCTCATCCATCCTCGCAAGAGCTCTCAGAAGGGGATTTTCTTTACAGAGCGGGGCAGCGAGGCCCTGCGCAGGTGACTAACTTCTCCAGGAGACACTGAGAACCCAACTCACATTTTCCTGACTTCAAAGTCCTCGCTCTCAACTACCGCTATTCTGCGTCCCTAACTCAGCAATCCTGATGTTGCTTACAATTACTAGATTCCTTCAGGAACAAAATGCCACAGTGTAATTTTTCTAACAAGATCTCGCTGCCAAAGCTTCCTTGGGTTTCAGCTCCCCGCGGCGCTGAGCACGCCGAGTCCTAAGCACAGCGGGGCGGGACTTCAAAGCAGAGGCGCGTTCTCTGGAGTTGCCAGCAGAGGGCGCGCGCGGCCTGCTCTGGACCGCAGGGGACCCGCCACCGCCACCAGGCCCAGGGAACCTAGACCTTCCAGCCCCGCTCTGGGATTCCTTTCCAAACGTGGCCTCGGGTGTTTGCATTTTTATTTCCAAGGAGACGCTGCAGCAGAGAATCTCTCTTGCTTTCTCCATTTGTCTCTGTGTCTTTCTCTCGCAAAAGTGACTCCACAAAGGCATCTAAACTAGATTCCTGAGGTTTCCTACTCCACCATGAACAGTTTCGGAGATAAAAATGTTCTTTCTCCGCAGACGTGGGTGAAGGCTTCCTCTCTGAGCCTTACCATCCGGTTCTTCGTCAAAATGATCTTTAATAAATCAAGGAGAGCAGCAAGGTGGAGACTCACATCCAATCAGACCTAAGCGTAAATTCAGCTTTTTCACCTGAACATATTATTACCCTGTGAGAACCTCAGTTTGTCCATCTGTAAAATGGAAGGTAATACAAGTGCCTCCTTCAGAGTAGTGCAGTGAGGGACTAAATGAAATTAGCCGTGGAGTGAACACCTGGTACCTAGTAGAGACTCAAAAGTATTGATACCAGTCCTGCATTTTCTAATTGTTTTGTGTTAGTTTTCTCTCTCTAATATAACAGTAAGCTTACTGAGGGGAGGGACTTGATATTGCTTTATTTATATCAGTTATGGTTTGTAACATGTGACTAGGCACTTGATATTTACAGTCTTAACTAAATATTACATCCTAGCTCTTCCACGAAGACTTCTGGGATTAGGTGCAACTTGGAGGTTTCCTCTCCAGGTCGGTTCCATAAATACTTGCTAAACAGAGTTTATGACCTCTTTAGGAGCCTTAAATTCCACATCTGTACCCTGGGGACAAACAGGATTCCTATTCACAGAGGTGATGAGAGGATTTAGTTTGTTCTAAATCACTGGATCTTATCAGAGGGCAACTTTGCTCACAGGCAGTCTCTGGAGACATTTTTGGTTGTTACTTCACAGCTTGTGTGTGTGTGTGTGTGTGTGTGTGTGTGTGTGTGTGTGTGCGCGCGCGTGCGCGCGCGCGGGCGTGCCACTAGCAGCTAGTGCAGACAGGCCCAGAGATACTGTTAAATATCCTACAATGCACAGCATGATCTCCCCACAACAGAGAATTATCCAGCCCAAAACATCAATCGTGCTGTGGTCCGGGGGATGAAATTATCCTAGAATCCTGACTCTTCTACCTTCAGTGTGACCTCAGGCAAGTGGCTTACCTCTCGTGAGCCCATCTGTAAAATGGGTTAATAAGACATAATCTGTGAATAAGAGTAGAAGGTATAACATACCTAGCTTATTACCTGGCAGAGAGCAGGTGAAATTTTAAAAATATTTTTTGGAACCTGTTTTATGACAGTACTACACAGATGTTAGTGGTTGTTATGCTGAGTGGCTTCAGTACGCAGGTATCCATGACCGTGGCTACACCGGAGGCTCAGCCTCCTTGCCCAGCCTCCTCAGACACGGGCTTCTACATGCTGTTGTTAGCCCACCTGGCCATGTTCTTATCTTACTATCATTCTTGCCCTGAGGAGGGCATCCACACCAATCACAAATGCCCAGACCTCTTTGCTGCCAAGGATGCCCTCATCTCTCCTTCCCTATCCTGTTTCCCACAAAGACTGCCTGTTCTGCCTGCATCGCAGAAGGCAGACTTGATCTGCTTTGACGTCAAAGTCCTTAGAAGGTCCAGGCTTCTAGCCTGAGGATGCCCCTGGCTGATCTGGGTGTCCAGTGTCTGAGCACGTAGCCAAGCAGACTACTTGCTAGCTAGATCTGCCCTTTCAGAGCGAGTGATAAGCCAGAGTTTTTGTCCTTATTCTCTTCCTGGCCTTTTCAGGTTCAGGGATTTGCATTTTCAGCCAGCGTCCTAGTTGATAATTAGCACTCTAAAAGTTGAGTGTCACCAGAGGAGTCAAGACCTACCGTCCTTTCTAGCTCCAGTCTGGGATATCTCTACCCCTAAAGGCCTTATCTTCAGGGTCTAAAGGGCATGAGAGTTTTAGCTACTATCTCTGTTGCTGATTTAAAAGAGTAAAGGTAATTAAGACATGCATACACTAGGATGATCCAGAAAAGTTAGCCAAAGATGTATAATACCTCTGACAAACAGAGGTTTTGTTCTCTGTTGGACAAGGGTGAATGCTGCAAAAGTCTTGTCTGGAAACAGGATCAGCCGGGCGTGTCTACCATCATGGATTTGAACTCAGACACACTTGGGATCAAATCCGGCCTCTACTGAGCACTAGTGTAGGTTTGGGTAAGTTACCCGATGTCTCTACACCTCAAGTTTCCTCATCTGTCAACAGGGGGCAATCTCATAGGATGCTGTGGATGATTAAATGCTACGCTGATTTACCAATGCTGAGCACAGCGTCTCAAGTGTAGTAAACACTCAATAAACGCTATTAACACCAGCATCAGTAATGACAATGCTGCATCCACTGCGATCAGGATAACAAAATACGTTCTGGCTGCATCTTGAGTTCACAGCTCCTGGGGAACCTCCCCAAAGCAACAGCAATGGATGCGGAGGAAGCAGCAGCAGATGGTCAAACAGAGCATCCCTCTGCTTTCATTTCTCTGCAGTCATAGACCAAAGGACAAGCAGGGCTCCAAAATAGCTTGCACAGTCATGCTTTCTACAGACTTTTCCCTGGAAAAGTGATACGAAAAACTCCCATCTTTCATCAATATAGTTGGTACTCAATACACTTCTGAGGAAGTGAACTCTAGAAGTATCCGATATGGATTGAAGAATGGGCTGGAAAAAATACAACTTAACCTCTGACTGGCTTTGGTTTTCTCACTTAGCAACTGCTTTAGTGTCAGGATTTAGCAAATCAATCGGTTCATTTGTCTCTGAGTTATTAAAATAACTGAATGCAAATGACCTCGCATTTACTTAAGTTTCCCCAAAGATGCACATATCGAAACAAGAAAATCCTGAGGCATTTGAAAAAGGCAGCGCTGGCCAATCTATAAGCTGTTAAATGCAACCCATACGAATGGGGTGTTTGAAGTCTCCAGTGCTCTAAAGAAACCGCACTTCAAAAGTTTTCAATTCCTGGGTAATGGAGAAAAGGCCCCTTTTAACATTCTGTCCTTTGTTTATTTTCTTTCTCCCCTGAGCGCTTCCTTTTCACTTCTCTAAAATGTTTAGCAATACTTTCTAAAGCTTGGGGCTGAGAAAACACGTTGTTAAAAGAAAATTCAGATGTGTTTGTCTTTGGATGGTCTCTGTGGCTCTGTGTAAATGCACCCTGGGGAGACAGTGCCTGGGATTCTGAGCATCACCCAGTCCCAATTCCTAGAATCCGTGAAGGCCCACAGCGACGCGGAAAACTCTTGTCACAGAGTCTGACAACAGCTTTGTAAAGACCTCAGGTAAATCAACGGAAAGACGGGGGCCACGTTCTCCTGTCCAGAATCTCCTAATTCATTATGTCTGACCTACCATCTCCTCGCAGAAGCTTTGCAAAATGAGCCCAGGAGGATTATCACAGCCTGTCCCGAAAGGCAAGTCAAAACCTGCCACACCTCTAAAGAGGCAAAAACGTGTGCAGCTGTAGAACGGGTAAGACCGCCGTGCAGCTGCTCTGGGGGAAAGCGAATTCAGGAGATAACTCTGCACTTCTCGGTCTGGACATGGCGCGTTTACACATCTGAAACAGGAGTGACAGTTTTTCTGTCTCATGCAATATTCAGAATCTTGAATGGCCGACAGTCGGGCTGTTGGAACCCACTTGCACTGGCTTTTGAGAGACAACTGTGTGCATCTCTCCCCAAACCCTCCATTTCGTGACACGATACTGATGACTTGTAACAAGTCAGGCAGAAAATTTACACCACAGAAATGGGCAAATGCTGCAAAGCATTGCTTTCCCCCCGCCCCTTCCCTTGGAGAGCCAGTTATTAAACATTTACCCACGTCACTGCATAATATTCATTGTTTTAACATCGTCCTGTGTTTAACCAAACCCTTTCCATGTCATATCTAATTGGTTTCTAAATGTTTACCACGATCACAGATGCATTTTGCTGAATGCGGAAGTTTGGCCCCTGGCTGGGATCATTTCCTTAGGAAACAACCTGAGTAGCGGAGGGACTGGGTTGGGGGCTGTGAGCATCTGTGAGGCCCTTGATACAGGTGGCCAAAGTGCCTTCCAGAGCCGCTGTTCTAATAACGTCTGCAGAACCAGATGCAGTCATGGGGGTGGGGGGATGTGAATCCCTGGGTGGGGGGTGGACAGCTCCCGACTCGTACCTGAGGGCACTTGGCGGCGCTGTAGCAGTCCCCGGCGGTGGCAAAAGGGACGGGATGTCCTTCGCGGGTCCTGGCAAACTGTAAGTCAGTGGCTGTGGGGTTTTGGAGACAGGGTTACAGGGAGCAGAGAGGTGAGAGTATGAGAAAGAGAAAGGGAAGGGACAGGATATTAACAAGGAGACAGAAGGAAAGAAGAGTTAGAGAAATCATAAGAGGAAATGGGAGAGGAAAAAAGAAAACAAACCGAAGTATGATTAGTGAGCAAACGGATCCAGATGTACACTTGCTTTCCCCTCACTATATCTGTGGGTCTGAGAGCTTCCTTCTCTGGGTTTTACCAGCACTTTCTGTCTCCTCACAGTATGGAAGCCAAAAGGGGGGCTTAAGATGACTTTGGAATTGATCCCTATATAAATAAATATGCGAATCACCTCGCTTAAATGTAGTGTAATTGGATGATTGTGAATCTCCTGTAGGAGCAGCCTCTGAGGCTGCAGGACTGCAGGACGGGGCGGGGAGTAAGCCAGCAAAGCATTTCCAGCTACTTAGCAGTTATTCCCCGAGTGGCCCAGGCACTATTATCACCAAAATGGGGAGCAATTAGAACTCACATCTTGAAAGTATTAATGGCAGTTTCTTAAGTTTGGGGCTAACTTTTTAAAAAAGCCAATAAAAACAGTGCTTGCGTTTTTAACCCTCTGGGTAGCTCCTGAGAACAGCTCTGAGAATGGGGAAGGCGTATCAGGAGGTGGCAGACTGAGAATCCTACAAAATCTGGTGGGAACTAGAGACCAGAGGCAGCTCTGTAAACCTTTCTGCTTTGTCTTTCAGGAATAGCAAGAGAAGGCCTTAATCTTTCTGCAGGTTCGTGGGAGGGAAAGCTGAGTCCCCCAACCTCCAAGGGCAGGAGCCCTGCCCACTTCAGCACGCAGAAGCCCTGGGTAAGTGGGAAACTGCAGATTCTGCCCTTAGCCCTCATCAGTCTGGCTGAAGGCAATTAAAAATATCTTGGTACAAATCAGATTTAATCTACCTGCAGAGGAAAGCAAGGCAAGGTTATGGGAACATGTTAATGAAGAAAAATTAATTATTCATTATTTGTTTCTCCACTATTCGAGGGAACGTGTTTGGATATTTGAGCTGTCTTTTATTTTATGTTTTAATTTTTTAAAACATCTTTATTGGGGTATAATTGCTTTACAATGGTGTGTTAGTTTCTGCTTTATAACAAAGCGAATCAGTTATACATATACATATGTTCCCATACCTCCTCCCTCTTGCGTCTCCCTCCCTCCCTCCCACCCTCCCTATCCCACCCCTCCAGGCGGTCACAGAGCACCGAGCTGATCTCCCTGTGCTATGGGGCTGCTTCCCACTAGCTATCTACCTTCCGTTTGTTAGTGTATGTATGTCCATGCCTCTCTCTCGCTTTGTCACATGAGCTGTCTTTAACCGCTCCTATGATTAATGTCCTTAACAAAAATGCAGTGTTGGCTGGAGTATGACATCAGTCCACGCTCAGGCTAGTTTAAAAAAAATGGTAATTCTGTCCTCCGTTTTTCTTCTGTAAATCGACAATCAGAGAAAATTAGTTTTACGCCCATGTTCGTGTTTGTGCGTGTGTGTGCGTATGTACACTGCTGGTGGAAGCCCAGGGTAGGGTGAATGTTGCTACATGAATATCATAGCTTTGGAGTTTGCATCTGCTACCTTAAAACTTCATTTTCCTTCGAAAGCTCTGCTACCAGGACTTCCCTGCTGGTCCAGTGGTAAAGAATCTGCCTTCCAATGCAGGGGACGCGAGTTCGACCCCTGGTCAGGGAACTAAGATCCCATATGCCGCGGGGCAATTAGGCCCGCACACCCCAACTACTGAGCTCACATGCCTCAACTAGAGCCCATGTGCTGCAAACTACAGAGCCCACATGCCCTGGAGCCTGTACGCCACAACTAGAGAAGAGAAAAACCGCACGCCACAACTAGAAAGAAGCCCGTGCGCCACAACGAAGAGCACGCGTGCCGCTGCTAAGACCAGACGCAGCCAAAAAATAAAATAAAATAAAAATAAAAAAATAGTAAATAAATCGTAAAAAAAATTTTTGCTACCATGCTTGCTTTGCCTACCTGGCTCACTCCCATTTGGCCTTAAGGTCTCAATTTCAATGTCATATTTTGGGGGATGCTGCCCTGACTCCCCCGCTGCGATGGTGCCCTTTCATGTGCCTCTGCCTCCTCCATTCATCCATTTGTCACAAATCTGATGGGGCACCGCCCCTGTGCTCAGCACTTCCCCAGGCACTGCGGGGACAGCAGTGATCATAAGGTGCAAAATCCCACCCTCTGGCAGCTCAGACTGGGATTGCCATCACTGGACCCTAAGTTCCTCTTCACATCCTCCGGGCCTCGGCCCAGTCCCTGTGCAGAATGTTTTTGTTGTCTGAATGGAGAGACACATGGACACATCCCCCAGGACGTCCCATGGAACTTACTGATGATCTGCATGGTGGTCAGGTCTATCCTGATCTTCTGGAAGCTGGAAAACCCAGCCGCTGTGTAGTCTTTCCGACACTGACAGTCATCGCGTCGGCTCCCGTTGTAGGGACATTCGGTTGGGTTGTGCAACCTACATCACAGAAAGAACATCCCAGTAAGGATGGGGAGGTCCTTCCAGGGATCTCCAGGCATCCGGGCTCTTCTGAGCCTGAGCTCTCCTACCTGTGCCCGTAAACCTCAGAAAAATTCTCAGAGTCACCGTGGACCAGTGTCATGTACTCCTTGGGGCGGTCAGAGTGCATCCCTGCACAGAAGACCTGAAAGACAGACCAGAAATAACCTGCAAGGGATGGCTCAGAAACGGACCATGAGGGCCAGGGCCGCTGGCTCTGAAACCAGGCTGGAAATAACGACTGAGCTCCGACGCGTACCTTCAGGAGCTTTCCCGTGACGATCAGGAAATATTCCCCATCTTCACCGGCACCTTTCAGCCTTTTTACTTCCTTGCAGTTCTGGGGCAACTCGCCTGGAAAACACAAACCACGAAAACGGGCTGTGATTCTCCAGGATGTGCAGTGGCCGCTGATGGAAGGAGTTATGTTATGCATGCTCATGTCTGTCTGCAAGGGGGCCAATTTCTTAAAAATAAATTCTATATTTCTGAAAAAGGCAGGCAAGCACATCAACAATGAAACCTGTTCTTCAAGCTCCAGAAGGATGGCTCCAGTTGGCCAACTTACAGTTATAGATATTGTGGCAGGTTTTTCTTTCTTCCGGCTTCAACTCATCAGGGCATAAGTGGCTGGGCTGGTCCTCGTTGGTGAGACACTGCACAGATCTGTGCATCACTCCGATGCCACAGGACACGGAACACTATAAGGCAGAGCAGGGTCAGAGTTGTGGCTGCGGAACCTGGAGATATGGGCTTCTCGTGGTGTGGAACTCAGAGCCTGGAGGCTTGCACAGGAACCCCATGTTGCTGAAAACAAATATCTGACACATGTAGGGCACTTCCTATGGGCCAGTCTCTGTGCTAAGATTTTTTTTTTAATAAATTTATTTATTTTACTTATTTATTTTTGGCTGTGTTGGGTCTCTGTTGCTGTGCAGGGGCTTTCCCTAGTTGTGGCGAGCGGGGGCTACTCTTCGTCGCGGTGCGCGGACTTCTCATTGCGGTGGCTTCTCTTGTTGCGGAGCACGGGCTCTAGGCGCGCGGACTTCAGTAGGTGTGGCTCGTGGGCTCAGTAGTTGTGGCTCACAGGCTCTAGAGCGCAGGCTCAGTGTCTGTGGCTCACGGGCTTAGTTGCTCCGCAGCATGTGGGATCCCCCTGGACCAGGGCTCGAACCCGTGTTCCCTGCACTGGCAGGCGTATTCCTAACCACTGAGCCACCAGGGAAGCCCTGTGCTAACTCTTATATATACATGTCTATATGTACATCCATCCATAGCTACATATGTAGTCATACATATGAAATATATATATATATATATTATATAATTTCCTCATCTAAGCCTCACAATAACCCTATGAGATAGTACTAGCATTATTCTATTTTTACAGAGGGGAGACTGAGGCTCAAATGTTAGGAAATTTGTTCACGGTCATGGTGGAGCCAGAATTTAAACCTTAACCCCTTTCAACTGGTCCCACACTTTTGCCCGATCATCACTTTGCATCAGTGAAAGCCTCGTAGTCAGGAGCCAGCGGGCTGGGGCAATTTTCAAGGGCATTCCCGATATCAGATATTCTTACTCGTCGCAACCCCAACGCAACCAAGAATTCCCGACATAGAAGCGCCAGTGCTTACAGAAGTCTTAGCCACAGAACCCACCACAACGAGCAGCTCTGCAACCCTCTTTCAGTGACAAACAAGGGCTCTGGGTGCTGTTTAATTTTACACTGTGGTAAAATATATGGAACTTAAGAAGTTGCCGTTATAGCCCATGTGCTTTTTAATGCATGAATGCATTTCAACTTCACAAACACCCCATTCTGCAGGGGAGGAAACAGACACGAACGCTTGGCCCCTCATCCCGGGTCGTTCAATTGGGAACGGCAGAACCAGGAATCAGACGGAGGCTGTCTGGCCTCCCCACCCCTGTCCCCCTTCTAAGCACCAGGCCAAACGGCCCAACAAGCAGAGAAGCCCCCTTTCCCCTTCAGCCCATTTCAAGATACTAACTCCTGTTTCTCACCCGGGGCTCTCCTGGAAGGACAGCTCAGGCAGGACATGTTTAAGTCGGGGTTTGAGATCCAAAAGCTTTCCGATTTCATCACTCAAGAGTCTACTTACGCTCCCCCAGTTGCCAACTCTCCAGGTGGCGGAGACAGGGCACTCCCGCAGGTAGCAGGGCTGGACGCTGGGTGGCTGTGCGCCCGGGCAGTTGATGGTGGTTTGATAGCTGTACTCATAATTCTCCTTCCCAGTGTAAATCTCGCTACAGGAGACAAGCCTTTGTTTGTAGCCCTTTCCACAGGTCACTGAGCACTGGGAAGAGAGCGGGTAGAGAGCAGAGGTTGGAGCACGGCCTGGGGGCAGCCACAATAGGCCCCTGACCTCCACGGTGAACACTGACCTCGGGACAATGGGGCAGAGAGCTCTCCCTTTATTAGCTTCTTACGGGCCGCGGGGGACCTGCAGCCCTACAGGAGCCTTCTGGGATCCAGGGCTGCCACTACACCTTCTGGCCCCCGCTGCGGGCGGGGGGTGCCTCAAGCCCCTGCTCTGGATTTCATGGGGAGACGGGGCTGGGGGAGGTGCTCCAGCTGTCACCGGGTCCACTTACAGCGTCCAGAGCCCTACGTACTGGCGGGCAAATCACGCCTTTCCAAACCTACAATGACCACATCAGAGAAGCGACCAAGTGGGCTGGAGAGAGCGCCAGAGACCACCTGTGTGTGAAATCCAGGCTCTCCCAGGACTCTGGGACAACTTCCCTTCCCTACTTGATGGTCTGCTTTCCCATCTGCCCTCCACTTGATTTCCTTCTTTCTTCTCTCTCCCTGGCTATATATCGTGACTTAAATGTTACCTTTCTGCTTCCCTCCCCTCAGCCCAGCTCTCTCTAAATCATGCAGTCATTTAGACCCTCTGCCATAATTATACGGCATTTAAAAATACCCAGATGATACAGAAAAGGAGAAAGAAAAGGTATTTTACTGGTGTCCCAGCTCCTTCTGTGATGGGACATCTAACTGGTTATTAATAAGATTCTAGATTACGTTCAGCCTCCTCAGCTAAGTATTTTACATAATACTTTTAAAAGAAAACTGAATCAACCAACAAATTATTTTGATGATATTTTTGGGCCAAGTCGCCAAATTAACTGGCCACTCCCTGTGAAAATGCGACATAAAATTAAGGTAGAGTTTCAGGATTCTCAGGATCAAAGGTTCTTTGGGCGGGGGCAGATGAACCCTGGAAACAGTGTGCAGCATGTGGTGTGTTTTGCTTTTTCTGGGGCGAGGGACCATAGCTTCCGCCCATTCTCACTTGCTATTAAAACCAGTGTCTCTTTTTCCTGGTGTCTCCTACGCTGTTGCTTTAAGCCACGTGGCTTGCCGCCCCTGTAACTTTTCCAGGGGGAAGGCTCCCCTTGACGCGGTCCTAGAGTGAGAAGGGAACTGGCCCAGCCACAGGCATGCAGAGCATCCTTGGGCTTTCCTTTCCAGCTGGCTTAAGACCTGCAAATACTCTGCGTACGTTTCTTCCTTCTCTGGCTGCTGCTGTTCAAATGCCCAAAGATGCAGCTGATGCCAGGCCAGGGGAGTGCAGGGCTAGTCTGAGGTGTTTCACGCATGGATAGATGGCTAATAAATGCTGTCTGCCCAAGCTCTGGGTATCTTAGAGCATCTAACTCAGTGCTTGCACACCCTGACCTCAGTGTGGACTAATTTAAACAAGGCTGTATGTCTGAGAAGGCAAGTGCTAAGACCCTTTTCCCTTAGCAACCACAAGCAAACACAGCCCAGTGCCCATTTACGTGGGGGACGCAGTGGGAGACAGGTGTTGACAGATGGAAATGAGCCCCAAAGATGGTCAGGTTTTATTCAGAGGCCTCCAGAGCTCTGAAAAGAACCCTTCAGTAGCTGTTAAGAGCATCCTGAAAATGTTGAGTGCCTCTGGCTTCCTTAATCCACTTCAGGCCAGAGTTGTGAAGTGTAAGAGGCTCTCACCTCTGGGGAGGGGAGAGAGGAGGGGAGGGTCTTATGGTTGACTCTCCATGCCTTGGTGCCACGTGCATGTTTCATCATGAATGCAGATTACTTTTCTAACTTGAAAATAACCATAAAGCAAAATGAAACAATAAGAATGTGGGCTTCTTGCGCTAGTGATACACGTCGGGCCCAACCAGGGAAATGCACACACCGGCCAGGGCTGATGGAGTCGTCTTCTCCAATAGGGAGCACACAAAACTCTGCAGGTGATGGAGGCCCCAGACAGAAGGCAAATCTTGCTGTGGCTTTGGCATTTTACTAGAAGCTTTTCTAGAGGGAATTCTGGTCCAGTTCCTTGGGCATCACTCCCCTTGCAGAGTCCCTTCCCATGATCCTGGTATCTGTACCAAGTCCTGTCTCCATCCCTCCAATCTTTGCCTATAGCTTGCAGTTTTTTCAACTCATGGTACACCTGAAAATTTGCAGATGTATGGAAGGCTTTTTAAAAAAATGTTCTCCCTGTCTCATCTTTTGGGGGTTAATATTAAGGTTATAGTAAAGCCACAGGAGGAACATTATGCAAGCCTCAGAAAGAGACCAAAACTCTTTCAGTGTAATAACAACACACCAAATCCAGCTAAGATGAGCACGTCAACCTTGGCAGTGTGACAGGCATACAGACTCCAGCAAGACGAGTGACCGAGAACCAAGCCCGAAACCAGGAAGAAGAGGCCCCCAGGAGGCAGACAGGCGAATGGTCCAAGGGACAGAGGCCTGAGGAGGGAGAGAGGCCAGAAAGGAAGGCTCTCCCTTCCTGAGAGTCAGGGTGTGGCCTTGTGCAGCAACTCAGAGAACCAGAAGTTAGGGACCATGCCTTTCAAGGCACTGGGAGGGGTGAACTGAACAGAAGAGAGGAGCCCCCTGGACCCACCTCCCTCCACCCGCCTTGGTATCTGAATGGGTTGGAACCTATGCGTCAAACCCAAAGTCAAGGACTATTTTGAACACTCATCTGGACTTCCCATGTTCCTGGATGGGCAAGAGTAAATCTACTTCTAATGATCCAGACCACACCTCCCCTCCTTTCTTTGAGAACATACCAAGAACAGGTAGGGCTGGTATAGAGCGGAGTTTCTCACCCTCAGCACCCCTGACATTTGGGCTCAATAGCTCTCTGTTGTGGTGCTGTCCTGTACACTGTAGGAGGTTTAGCAGCATCCCTGGTCTCTACCCACCAGATGCCAGTAGCAGCCTACCTCCCCCGGCTGTGGCAACCAAAAATGTCTCCAGACAGTGCCAAACGTCCCGCAGGAGGTGAGGAGGGGAAGGCAAATTCACTGGGGTAGAGTGAAGGATGGGGAGACACAGTTAGAAAAGGCTTTAGGAACAGTTTTAGTACAGAAACAATTCAACACCCAACAAACACATCATCTAAATGCAAATATTCATCCCATGAACACGTGAAATTGCTGCCCCGTTGAACTCAAACGAGACGCCAGTTAAGAGCAAGCACCTTTGCTATGAGTCCAGATACTTCCCTTTCACAGCTCTAAATTCTTTGGGGCAAATGACAACTCGTGTTGCTATTACAGGTTTTTCAGTATTTGAAAATATCATGAGGTTTGAAAATATAATCATGTGACTGTTACTATTGGTTTATGAATAATAAAAAGCGTCTAGGTAGGCACTGTGTACAGCAGGAGACAAGGAAAAACAGACACTTGAGATTCCTTGGATATTATGGAAAACGATTTCATTCCTCTGGATCAGAGGTTGTTAAATGGGCAACCAACATCTGGCCCACAAAAGTGTTTGGTTCGACCCACACAATGTTTTTTTTTTTTTTTTTTTTT